ACAGACTTTCTTTTCTTCTAGTGACTTCTCTATTACATCAGTTATTCGGTGCACTTGATCAATTGTAGAGTGGTTTGATCGGATTCCAAATTGGTGATCGGGGATTAACTTTTGCTTCTCTAATATTTCTTTAAGTCTTTTCAGCAACAGTTTTTCAAAAAGTTTTGATATTATTGGCAAGAGGGAAATTGGTCCATACGACTTAACATCGTGTTGAGGAGGTTTACCAGGCTTGGGGACAAACAGTAGACAACAGCTTGGGAGATTAACAGTATGAACTAACTTAATAATTGTGCAATTGCCCTCTACCTTACAAGCTTGTCTCCTTGTACCTCTTGTCTGGTTCGTCGTCGCTTATATAGTTTCCTCCAGGTAACCCAGACGGTTCTCGAAATCTCCAGCCCAGGTGCGAAATTTCCCGCTTGTCAGTGTCAGAATGGGGCGCAAATGGGGCCCCCATTTACTGAAATACCATCAATTTCGATCCCCCCATTCCAAACGTGTGTTGGCTTTTTGACATGTTTGTAATCAAACGATTGTGGAGAAAACTGTGTCTCCACTCCTATCTGTTGTCCATATCAGAAGCATGTGTGAAATCACCGAAACACCGTCAGGATCAATCACACAGTAAAGTGCTGTTTCGCGGTCGCACAGGCAGCCCATAGGCAATAAATAAATCAACCTACGAAGAACGTACAAACGTAGAAATTTATGTCGTTCGAATGCTTCATGAATGAAGCTCGCACACTACACATTAACATAGTAGCTGGTATTCGCCATTCACATTAATTTGTTGACGATTTGCTGTAAATATCAAATGGTCATCTGGTCGAGTTGATCTCCATTTGAACATATTTATTTTCAGCTAAGTTTACAAACTTCTTACTGCCACTTATGCTACGGATCCTTAGTGCTAACATCGTTAGAGTGTCTAACACTCTATGTATCTTAAGATATATCATCATATGACTTAATCTAAATTGACCAAATAAACCTAATCTGAACCTAAACCTAACAGCCTCTCTTGCTTCCTATATCGAGTTGATCTTGACCAGAGGTGAATAATGAAGGTTGAGAAGGTGGATTAATTGTGGACGGTTGTTGCAGGTCGCTGCCCAAGCTCAGCAGCCAGGACGAGGACGGGCACACCCCCCACTCCCAGTTCACTGGAGTAGCGCACTTCGAGCCCATCCCACACGACCACGACTTTTGCGAACGTGTCGTCATTAACGTGAGTACAATCCCAACTTCCCTACGATTACATCTGGATCTATTCACAGCCCTTACGAATTTCTAATGCCCAAAAAAATTTACTTTTTAATTCATTTTTCAATTGATATTGACTCGGCGCAACAATAGTAAATATCAGAGGTTTGGTTTGTATTTATAGTTTAGTGCCGGATCGCGAAAGGTTTTATTGTGTTATTTTGGCAACCGCCAAACACTATTCGATTTTATGCACGGCAAAATGAAATAAATAGCCGACACATCATTAAGCAGTCACTAAAAGTTAGATAAGTTTAATTGATGGCCGGCACAATCGGCCTGAGTTATTGGCATTTAATATTCGGGCAATTAGTGTTGCCGATTTGAATGAGAACACTAAGGACTTCCACACTACAGCGTTACTTAGCGCTGGCAGTGAATTAACTTTCAACTAACCCATCAATTGTGGGCAGTTAGTGTATATAAATACGATATCAATTGTTCCCATCGGTAAACACACCAATTCTCAACAGTTGAAAATTGTAAACAAGCAACCACTATAAAGTGCATGCTATTAATACACTTGGGTTTTAATSAGTGAAMATTGCTGGGGAYTGTCGGGTTATGAGGCTCTGGTTGATAGGAATAGGTTCCTGACGTTTCGCTAGCTCGCCTGCCTAGCATCTTCAGAGGTGTGCTCGCCAAATAATKTATAACAACCAAATCCTTAGCAGTCCCTTCTGGTCAATTCTTTAAAYCTTCTTCATCTTCATTTCAGGTAAGCGGTTTACGCTTCGAAACGCAACTACGCACACTAAATCAATTCCCCGATACGCTGCTGGGGGATCCCGCGCGGCGGATCCGCTACTTTGATCCGCTGCGCAATGAGTACTTTTTCGACCGGAATCGGCCCTCTTTCGATGCCATCCTGTACTACTATCAGTCAGGGGGGCGGCTGCGTCGCCCTGTCAACGTGCCCCTTGACGTTTTCAGCGAAGAAATTAAGTTCTACGAGCTGGGCGAGCCTGCGATCAGCAAGTTTAGGGAAGACGAAGGATTTATTAAGGTGCGTTTAAGTAGCAAGAGTTAATGAAATCACTATCATCATAATCATTAAGAATCACTAATTTTTCACTTTTCCGGAAAGTTTTTCATCATTACCTTCCTGGCACGTCATATTTTTACACCTTTGTTTTTAAGTCTATAACAATAGGTACTTACACACTTTTCAATATGTCGCTATTTGTTTAAAGGCTTGCAAAAGCTTAATAGAACTAAACAAAACAAATCACAATGACCAGGGCCGGATTATCCTGTCAGCGCTGACAATGACATCTAATCAAAATAACTGTCAAATTGTACTAGTTAAAGTGTAGTTATAATTTAGCCGCCAGTGGGCGTTTGGACTTTTAAACTCGCGAATATTGCGGCAGTTTGACAAGTGAACGTCCGCCTATCAAATATTCTGATACTTCAAAAAATTAATGGGAATTATCCGTTTGAGCAGTAAAAAATTCTACATGTATACAATTCGGTCGTAAAGGCCGTTAAATAAATAAAAATTAAAAGTGCTGCTTACTTCTCAACCTAGGTATTTAATTTATTATACAGGGTGATTCAAAATTGGTGTCATTCCTTTTAAGGGGTGATGGAGGCTCACTTGGGGAGTACGGGAAAAATATTGAAATTTTTTTTTTCGAAAATTTCTAGAAGGTGTTAACAGTTGAAGATCGAATTTCAACTTTGGTATTAAGCATTATTTTGAAATTGTTCCATGTTTAGTTGGTAGCATATTGGAATACTTGAGCATGCAAAAAGAAAAATTACGATCTTTGCTTCAAATTACGAAAATTTTCGATATTGAAAAAGTTCCGTTCTACAATTTTTTGATGAAAAGACACAGCGGCAATGATGTTTTTTGCCATTAACAGATAGTTACAGGTGGATAGCCCTTGTCAATAATAACAATAATCTGTCAAACTGTGACTTACTT